GGCCAAAGAGCCCCTAGTAGCATCCTTGCTCCTAGTAGTAAGGCCAAGAGCCCCTAGTAGCGTCCTTGCTCCTAGTAGTAAGGCCAAGAGCCCCTAGTAGCGCCCTTGCTCCTAAGAGCCCCTAGTAGCATCCTGGCTCCTAGTAAGGCCAAGAGCCCCTAGTAGCGTCCTTGCTCCTAGTAGTAAGGCCAAGAGCCCCTAGTAGCGTCCTTGCTCCTAGTAGTAAGGCCAAGAGCCCGTAGTAGCGTCCTTGCTAGCGATGCCAGGAGCCCCTAGTAGCATCCTTGCTCCTAGTAGCGATGCCAGGAGCCCCTAGTAGCGTCCTTGCTCCGAGTAGCGATGCCACGAGCCCCTAGTAGCGTCCTTGCTCCTAGTAGTGAGGCCAAGAGCCCCTAGTAGCGTCCTTGCTCCTAGTAGCGATGCCAGGAGCCCCTAGTAGCATCCTTGCTCCTACCAAGAGCCCCTAGTAGCATCCTGCTCCTAGTAGTAAGGTCAAGAGCCAGGAGCCCCTAGTAGCATCCTTGCTCCTAGTAGTAAGGCCAAGAGTCTCTAGTAGCATCCTTGCTCCTAGTATTAAGGCCAAGAGCCCCTAGTAGCATCCTTGCTCCTAGTAGTAAGGCCAAGAGCCCCTAGTAGCATCCTTGCTCCTAGTAGTAAGGCCAAGAGCCCCTAGTAGCGTCCTTGCTCCTAGTAGTAAGGCCAAGAGCCCCTAGTAGCGTCCTTGCTCCTGGTAGCGATGCCAGGAGCCCCTAGTAGCGTTGCTGCTAGTAGTAAGGCCAAGAGCCCCTAGTAGCGTCCTTGCTCCTAGTAGCGATGCCAGGAGCCCCTAGTAGCGTCCTTGCTCCTAGTAGCGATGCCAGGAGCCCCTAGTAGCGTCCTTGCCTAGTAGTAAGGCCAAGAGCCCCTAGTAGCATCCTTGCTCCTAGTAAGGCCAAGAGCCCCTAGTAGCGCCCTTGCTCCTAGTAGTAAGGCCAAGAGCCCCTAGTAGCGTCCTTGCTCCTAGTAGCGATGCCAGG